AATAAAGGCATGGATAGCAACCTCTAGAGAGCTTTTTGAGAGAAATGACTTGATTTTAGAAAGGGAGTGAAGATGGAAGAAGCTAGAACCTACTACAGCACTAATTTGTTTATCAAATTTGAAGGAATTATCAAACAACACACCCAGATTTCGAACATGGGGAGAAATGAAGGAGTTTCATGAGAACATTCTGCAATGTACGAATGTACTTTTGGGGTTTGCTTTCAGAAGGCAGTTTATGATTTTATAAAAAAAATTGTATGCCTAGGACCTCAATGTTTTGTTGTTGTTTTTGTTATTTATACAGTGTGTGGAAAATACTAAGCATTATATTGTAGACAGTTTATGGCAGTTTAAGGCAGATTATGCATATATATATATATATATATATATATATATTACAGTGTGTGGAAAAAAAGCGTTATATACTAAGCAAAACAAACTTAAAATATTAAAAATATTGGAAAATATTTTGTATTAAGTGATACAAAAACCTTTTTCCAATATTTGAATATTTTCAATTAAATTAAAATTTTGTTACATTTTTGTATTTAAAAAAAATAAAAAAATACTAGACTTTACATAATAAATATTGTTTCAAAGCAGCTTCAATAGTGAACATATGACCAATGAGCAACAAGAAAACTAGAAGTATTCAACACAAATAACAACTATACGCAATATGTACATTGCAAGGAGAGCTGAAAATTGAGAAAGAAAATTTTTTTTTTTTACTAAATACTAAATGTAATAATATTATATAATATAAAATAATATTATATAATATTCTTACTAAATATATATTTTTTAAATACGTAATGAAACTTTAATGAAATGAACTCTAGTTTGAAAACTTTTGGCCTTAAATGGAATAGGCTACATATTTGTGTGATTTTGACCCACTTTATGGAAGTTCTGTCTGCATTAACCCATTTAATTTATATATGAGCACATCTCCTTCAATAGTAAGCAAATGTCATGCTTGTTCTAAAAAAAAGTTTTAAAAAGTGAAAGTATGTGCTTATATCGTGATAATTTTACATACACAATTGCAACATGTTCAACTTTCTTGCATTCCCACCCCAACCCATACAAATGCAGAAATGTTAAGATGGCGTATATCAAGGCAAATGTACAAGACATTGCGGTCATGCAAGGCAGAGTATTACAGCTATTTTCCTCAAGGGAGGGAGGAAGGGAGACCATGCCAGTGTTTGAGACCAGGGAGGAGGGAATAATTGTCCCTGCAAAATCCTCACGTTTCTACGCCTGCCTTTGCTCACTAGCAGATTAGGGTGTGCATGGGTTGCCTAAGCTCACAAAGAGACTAAATGTAATTTATATGCTAATTTATACCGGCTTGCAATGACGTGCACGGCTCCTCATTTAGCTTGTAGAAATGGTATTATCTTCGCTTATTGTCCAAACTGGTTATTTTCAGACAGGGCAGGACAAAGACAAAATAATATCACACCTACATATTTTAGATTAATATCTAATTAAAGCTTTAGACTGGTTTGTAATCATGTGAAACTGGTGCTAAAAACAGCTGCACCCCAGACGCTCTGATTTGGTTTAATAACGGGCATGTCCTGTTATCTATAATGTCATTTGTCTCTTTAACCTCTGTGGCCTCACATGCGTGTCCAGGTGTGAGTATTTCTGTGTATGTGGGTGGGGTTTGTGAGCTGGGCAGGGCTGAGTAACATGCTCAGGTAGGGCTCGCTATCACAAGGCTGTAAAATCCTGCGCTGCAGTATGTCAACAATAAGTCCCGTTGCACGTGCCAGTGGAGGGATCACAAAAACACTTGAGCTAAATAAATACCGCGTGCAGCATGTGAAAAAACACACAAAAGAGTAAGGCAGATATTTGCTGGTAGTTTGAACTTGTTTACCACAGAAGGGTTCCAAATGATGTGTACATGATGGAAAACACAGATTGAAAGACAGTATTAATGAAATAATTAGCTTATTGTCATAAGCACTGCACAGTATTAAAGGCATAGTTAAACTAAAAACATTCAGCAATCAGGAATATACAATGAAAGTGAATGGGAACCAGCCATGGTCACTATTGCCTCAGGAAAAAGTAGCTTTGACATTGTGATAACTTCTTTTGTTTTCCATAGAAGATACTCATGTGCACTTGCAATGTCATGCGGTTGAATAAATGTTCATGAAATTTTTACTTTTAGGTAAATTATTCCATGCTCTCTAGATTTGTGTCAGTGTAAATCAATATATTTGTTAGTGGTGTTTGCTAGGGTTAGAGGTTATTCAAAATCGATAACCCAAGTACGCAGTTTGCCATTTAACTCATACTACACTATCAGAAAAAAAGCTATTACTGGGATTGTACCCTGAAAAGATACACCTTTGTATCTTATTTACCCCTAAAGGTTTCATGTTAATACTTTAAAGATACAAATTAGTATATAAAGTGTACATTTTAATATCTAAATTGTATATGACAGCTTTTACACCCTCATTTCTAAGAGAGTACAGATATTAATGATACGTCAAATCATGCAAAATGTTAGGACAGGTGAGTTTTTGTTTTAGTGACCGAATACAGTTTTTCTTCCAGAAGATGACAAAATTGGTAGGAAAAAAATCCCCTAGATGTGGACTGAAAAGAGTACTCAAACATCTATCAAACATCTAGGGGAATCAGAACATATGTGACCCTGGAGCACAAAACCAGTCATAAGGGACAATGTTTTTGAAATTGAGATTTATACATCTGAATAAATAAGCTTTCCATTGATGTATGGTTTGTTAGGATAGGACAATATTTGGCCGAGATACAACTATTTGAAATCTGGAATCTGAGGGTGCAAAAAAAATCAAAATATTGAGAAAATCACCTTTAAAGTTGTCCAAATGAAGTCCTTAGCAATGCATTTTACTAATCAAAAATTACGTTTTTATATATTTACGGTAAATATCTTCATGGAACATGATCTTTACTTAATACCCTAATGATTTTTGGCATAAAAGAAAAAAATCCATAATTTTGACCCATACAATGTATAGTTGGCTATTGCTACAAATATACCCTTGCTACTTATGACTGGTTTTGTGCTCCAGGGTCACATATGGAGACAGTGACTGTTGACAGTAAAACAACCACCATAGTGTGAAAACTGCAAGGCCAGCTTCAACATCATTGTTTGCACAAGCAAGAAGAAGCATTTTGTTTATTAAAAATATCATTAATAAGTCTGCCTGTTGAAAGCCACTACTGCATTACATTGTTAAAGCACCATGGTGCAAGCGATTCCCGAAACGTTTTGGACACTGCCGCTTTAAATCGCATTCTCTTGGCCCAGATCTGACCGACTGTGTCCTCGGGTTGTTTAAAAAGTCAATCTGAAAGCCACGGTGCACATTCTACCAAAACGTGACTCCTCGTTGCCCCTCTCTCACAGGAGACGCATCTGTGTGGGAACCGTAACATCATCGCAAAGCCCCTGTGTATATGTAGCTTTTGATGCTCGCGACTCGCGATTGTTGTAGCTGCTTACACGAGACTGCGGATTTGGTTCGGGTAGGAACGGTGTCAGGAATCCATGTGAGGCGCCGGTCAGGTGTTGTGCAGTTTGGCTGGGGCACTGTGCCAGGGCTATTATTGGAGAGGAGAGGCGGGAGAGCTCGCGAACACGTGAGACCGTGATCCTGAGCGCATGACCGGAGAGGATGCGATAGGATGCAGAAACCCAGAGGGAGAGAAAGAGAAACCTGCGGGGGAATGGAAATAAAACAAGCCGATGGTTTCATTTGAAGTAACGTGTGACCATTAAACCAAACCATAAAACACATCTTGAGTTCACTAAAATGGGGTCGTCGCAATATGTTGCTGTACAGCCGTCATTGTTTTTAACGCATGAGATCGTTCTGACGGAGGAAACCTCACTCACTTCCAGTCGTTTAGATCATTACATCACCTCCCTCTGAAAGCTGCTGCAAGCGATTAAATATCGCGCACATAATGCCCCTCCCCCCTCCCCCTACAACCTGACAGATCGCAAACAAACAGGTACGGTACGCAGTTGTTTGAACTGGATCTTTTTGATCGATCGGTCGAGTCGATTCTCTCATTTCTCGAGTCAAAAAACCACTTGCTGAATTCAGAACAGCATATTAGCATACTTCGACTAATATTGGTCGCCGTGATTTTGCCAAGTTAGACATTTTCCTAGATCAACATCTTTGGTTGATGCCGAATCAACATTAGCCTACCGTCCAAAAACAGACCTAACCCTATCCCACACCTTAACCTAACCCTAACCATGATTAATTCCTAAAACCAGAGGGACATGATAGCTGAGTAACAAAGGGTGTAGAAACACCTAATCATGGTTGTGAACCTAAAACTGATTTTCCTGTGAACTTATCCCTTAATTCTGACTGTTTGATGGGAATTTTGTTCCAGGATCAACAATGATGTAGGCCTATGTTGAACATTCATGAAAATCCGAGAACCAATTAATAGACTGATAAGCGCATTTGTAGTGAACCTGGAATTTGATGGTAGAGCAACAAGGAAGTTACTCTAATAGCCGAATAGGAAATAATGAATACTGGAAATATATTCATGACTTGATAGCATGACAGTTATCAGCAAATAAACAATCTCACATGCTGGTTTAAATAAATAACATTTCATTAAAATATGTAAAAAGGCTTTCAGTCTAGATAGGTAAATTACATTTAGCATTGTTTAATGCCAATGCAAATTAGATTTGATTTGCAAATAAGCCAGTACAACAAACCGAACTGGGGCACATGAAATTAACCCTAACTCTAACTTTTAACTAGGGATTTAACATGTTAAAACTTAAGGTGCTTGAAAGACTAGTGAAAATGCAACATCAACCGTTTAAATGAATTAATAATAATGTACATTTACTAATAATGAAATTTACTAACAAAATAAAGTTCCATTTTTATGTTTTTCCCCACTCAAAGGCTTCATACACTCTTGTATTTTTGCAGGGGGTGTGATACTCTACGCTGGCAGCAATGGCAGTGCCAGTCCATGCCCAGGAAGCCCCTCTAGTGGCTATCAAACCCAATCTCCATCTTCTCACTCCCAGCCGTCTTCCCCAGAGGAGGTCACCTTCACCGAGATTGGGGTGCTCAAGCAGCAAGGAAGAGTGGGAACACCACCTTCTCCAAAACTGGTATTTCAGTTCCCTGAAATCTACAACAACTCCACTACAGGTTCAAACCCGCACAGCTACTCCCATCCCATCGCTGGTAAAAGGCCTTGTGGATTCACTGGCACGTTTACCAGTAAGTGGGTTCTCTTTTTAGTACCTGCATCACACAAAGTCAGCATCTTCTTTCACAAAGGAATAACGAGTCCCCAATATTAAGGACATGTGTTCTTGTACATCCTGACCCCATTCTCTCTCTGTTTCTAGAGGGAGAGAAAGGGAAACCTGCGGGGGAATGGAAATAAAACAAGCCGATGGTTTCATTTGAAGTAACGTGTGACCATTAAACCAAACCATAAAACACATCTTGAGTTCACTAAAATGGGGTCGTCGCAATATGTTGCTGTACAGCCGTCATTGTTTTTAACGCATGAGATCGTTCTGACGGAGGAAACCTCACTCACTTCCAGTCGTTTAGATCATTACATCACCTCCCTCTGAAAGCTGCTGCAAGCGATTAAATATCGCGCACATAATGCCCCTCCCCCCTCCCCCTACAACCTGACAGATCGCAAACAAACAGGTACGGTACGCAGTTGTTTGAACTGGATCTTTTTGATCGATCGGTCGAGTCGATTCTCTCATTTCTCGAGTCAAAAAACCACTTGCTGAATTCAGAACAGCATATTAGCATACTTCGACTAATATTGGTCGCCGTGATTTTGCCAAGTTAGACATTTTCCTAGATCAACATCTTTGGTTGATGCCGAATCAACATTAGCCTACCGTCCAAAAACAGACCTAACCCTATCCCACACCTTAACCTAACCCTAACCATGATTAATTCCTAAAACCAGAGGGACATGATAGCTGAGTAACAAAGGGTGTAGAAACACCTAATCATGGTTGTGAACCTAAAACTGATTTTCCTGTGAACTTATCCCTTAATTCTGACTGTTTGATGGGAATTTTGTTCCAGGATCAACAATGATGTAGGCCTATGTTGAACATTCATGAAAATCCGAGAACCAATTAATAGACTGATAAGCGCATTTGTAGTGAACCTGGAATTTGATGGTAGAGCAACAAGGAAGTTACTCTAATAGCCGAATAGGAAATAATGAATACTGGAAATATATTCATGACTTGATAGCATGACAGTTATCAGCAAATAAACAATCTCACATGCTGGTTTAAATAAATAACATTTCATTAAAATATGTAAAAAGGCTTTCAGTCTAGATAGGTAAATTACATTTAGCATTGTTTAATGCCAATGCAAATTAGATTTGATTTGCAAATAAGCCAGTACAACAAACCGAACTGGGGCACATGAAATTAACCCTAACTCTAACTTTTAACTAGGGATTTAACATGTTAAAACTTAAGGTGCTTGAAAGACTAGTGAAAATGCAACATCAACCGTTTAAATGAATTAATAATAATGTACATTTACTAATAATGAAATTTACTAACAAAATAAAGTTCCATTTTTATGTTTTTCCCCACTCAAAGGCTTCATACACTCTTGTATTTTTGCAGGGGGTGTGATACTCTACGCTGGCAGCAATGGCAGTGCCAGTCCATGCCCAGGAAGCCCCTCTAGTGGCTATCAAACCCAATCTCCATCTTCTCACTCCCAGCCGTCTTCCCCAGAGGAGGTCACCTTCACCGAGATTGGGGTGCTCAAGCAGCAAGGAAGAGTGGGAACACCACCTTCTCCAAAACTGGTATTTCAGTTCCCTGAAATCTACAACAACTCCACTACAGGTTCAAACCCGCACAGCTACTCCCATCCCATCGCTGGTAAAAGGCCTTGTGGATTCACTGGCACGTTTACCAGTAAGTGGGTTCTCTTTTTAGTACCTGCATCACACAAAGTCAGCATCTTCTTTCACAAAGGAATAACGAGTCCCCAATATTAAGGACATGTGTTCTTGTACATCCTGACCCCATTCTCTCTCTGTTTCTATCTTTATCTGAGCAGAGACTGGAGGCATGGTGCTCCTTTGTAAAGTATGTGGAGATATCGCATCAGGGTTCCACTATGGTGTCCATGCATGCGAAGGCTGCAAGGTAAGACAGAGCGAGCCTCTGATAAATCAAACATGCATGAGTCTTTTCTGTCATATCATTGTGGTTTAATCATATCGCATGTCTTTTGTTCTTTGCAGGGCTTTTTCCGCCGCAGCATTCAGCAGAACATTAACTACAAGATGTGCGTGAAGAACGAGAGCTGCCTAATAATGCGCATGAACCGCAACCGCTGCCAACACTGCCGCTTCAAAAAATGCCTGTCTGTTGGCATGTCCCGTGACGGTGAGAATTTTAAGAGGTTATCAGGGCACTGACATATAACAAATAGTGAAAAGTCGTACTTTCATAGCATTCTTCAGGCCAAGCACCACACCCGCCCCCTCAACCTACTTTCTTCTTTTAGTCTTGCACCGTTGGTGACTTTCAAGAGAGCAAGTTTCTTTTAGTTTTGTTGTGTGCTCGTTTCTGTCTCTCGCTTGCCCTTTGTGGTCCCTTCTTTTTCTCACCTCCTTCTCTCCATCGGTTTACCCTTCCCCCTCGTACGCTCCCTAAGCTCTGCCTCCCAATCCCTCCTAGAGACAATGATTTATGAGGGATGGAGTCACGCAGTCCCTGAAGCTATCAGTCATCTGGAAAACTGCAGCAAATACAAGAATTATTTTAAGAAATTGGAACACGGGCGACTTGATTACCACGCTTGTGGCCTTAAAACATCCTCAGCAATTAATGTTGTGCTGCAGCAAAAATTAAGCAAGGGATGCAGAAAAAAGCAAGGCATCTGAACTCTTCAGAAGAACAATGCCTTTGGCGGAGATTTAACCCTGAATAACACTGAAATGAACGATAAATCTTGTCCGATGAACTTTTGAGGAAATTTAGCAACTGACACTTGTACATTGTGACCTATTTAGTCAGGTTCTCAGCAGAATTTCACATGGTTACCAGCGGATGTGCATCAAAGTTAGGTTGGCTATGATAGCAGATTGCACTGGATGTTGTTCTAAGAGTGCACTAACAGAAATGAGTCTATTGGGTACAAAGTGGGGGAGGTAAACAGTCATTTTACCCTGGTTCCTGAAATTGTTAGGGCCCACAACCTAGAAACCTGTTTCTCTGACGGGTTCTCTTGCACAAACAGGAAAACCTCATGCAACGGCCTCAAATACCACAATAAAGTAGACGCCCTGATTTCATTTCACTTCACTGCAGTCTTTAGTTTAATTTCGGTGGTGTGATACAAACAGATGTTTGGTTTGACACGATGGGGCGGCATGGTTTCACTTCCGCTATGAACTTGCCATTTGTTAGACTAGTAATCAGTGCAGCGCTCTGAAGCTATGTGTGTCATGTTGTTTGCACAGGATGAAGCACCGTAGTCTTCAGATCAGATACAGTCTAAGAATTTTAACTGAATTTAACAGATTTAAGTGAAATTCAGAATTGATGTATTGGAATTTGAATTGGGCACACCCCACCGGAAGTCGAATTTGAATTTGAATTGAAATGACAGGAAGAGGAATTTACTGAATTGCAATTGAAACAAACTCAACACTGGCAATGCATTCTAAGAAATGAAGTGTTACGTTAAAGTTTTTTTTAAAACAAACTAAATAAACTTTTGTTAAACCAACATTCAGAGTTTTAATTCTGCTCTTCTAGTTAAAAATTAGTAACATTAACTTTTTTGAATTTCAGTTTATGTTAGTTTTACTGCCTTGCATTCCAAATCGAAGTGCAATTTTGCATCCTGTTTGCTACACTAATTAAAACTGAGCTGGAATTCAGGAAATTGAATTGTAATGGCAACAAGAAGAATTGACTTAATTGCAACTGAAAAAAAAAAAATCTATCTATAAACATACAAACTGTTTTTTTAACTTTTCTCTTTTTTTGACAAAATAAGGCATTGTCCGACCAAAATTTAAAGTTTATTTTGCTTTTCTAGTTGAAAATTAAATTTATTTCAATTTATAATGAATTTTAATTCTGCTTTCCTACATTCAAATCTAAGTACAATTTTGTATCCTGTTTGCCAAACAATACAATACAAATTGAGCTGAAATTCAGGGACTGAATTGCAATTTAAAAGGCATTTTCTGTTCAGTTCTAAATAGCACACAACCCTGATTGGTAAGTGCCAAGTCAGTTATGGATTTAGCAATGCAAAATATTTATCATCCTGCAGGGTAACACATGCAACCATTGCATGTTAGTTACAGAAAAGTTAAAAAAAATGTGTCCTGTTGGCTTATCTCGTTTTCTCAGATGCAGGTGTTGTGAGACATATATGATATATGGAACATCTCTGCCATTTGCCTTCCTTCTGCTCTCATCCTGTAATCCCAGGATGTACCATAATACCTTACACCTACTGCCACCTCAGTCTGCCAAATGACATTCTTCTCTTCTCTTCTCTCTTCTCTTCTCCCCTGCTTTTTCCTCTCCTCTCCCCTCCTTTCCTTACATTAGTTTCTCTCCCAATTCCCGTGGCATTGTCATCACGTTCTGCCTGACCCACTGCCCTACTTATGGCTTCAGAGAGGAGTGAGAGTAGCATAGGGATGAAGAGAGGAAGGGGAGGTAGTGACGGAGTGATGAAGAGTGGGGGGAGGTAACACATGGTAGCATTGGTGCTATTTTTAGATTCAACAGCTGACAGATTTACTTAGAGGAGGGGGTGGTGATGGAGAAAAGAGTGAGGGGCTTGTAAAAGATGCGAAAGCATCCAATACATAACTAACACATTTAATGATCATCAATATTCTACACCACAGCGACCAAAGATACTAGATAGCAAGTTGTCTCCTACACAGCAGCTGTGCTATTTTTGTGTGTGTTTTTTCTTCACTTCCAAAGCAATTTTCAGACAATATTTCACTTTTTTGTCACGCTAGGCTATTTCTGATGCTGCCATGTGCTTTATTATAAAAGAAATGGGACATGGACATTTTGATTACTGATCAGGCAGGCTCTTTTTATCATTGATTCGCCGCATAGAAATGCAGTAGTTTCACAACATCTTGTACTGTATTTTTTATCATTGACTAAGACTCAAAATTGACTAAGACTAAAAATGCATAGAGTTTTTGTCCATATAAAGAAAAGGTGTGGTGTTCAATATTGTTTTGGATCCCACTGACCTTCACAGTATGGACAAAAAGAAGTTTCTTCAATTTCAAGAAAGAAGGCAAAAAATTTTGAAATTTTGAAATTTTGAATTTTTCATTTTGAAAAAACATTAAACATTACAAATTTTTGTCTGTAGAATAACATGTACAGATAAAGCAAATATTAAGAAAGCAAATTATGGCTTTATGTTGTCCAGTTTCTTCAATTTCAAGAAAGAAGGCAAAAAATTTTGAAATTTTGAATTTTTCATTTTGAAAAAACATTAAACATTACAAATTTTTGTCTGTAGAATAACATGTACAGATAAAGCAAATATTAAGAAAGCAAATTATGGCTTTATGTTGTCTTGTTCATGTTGTCAACCAATTGTTTCTCTCTCTCTGACCCCTAGCTGTGCGTTTCGGCCGCATCCCAAAACGAGAGAAGCAGCGGCTTTTGGACGAGATGCAGAGCTACATGAACAGCCTCAACGAATCGTCCACCATGGGCATGGAAACCTCGCCACCACATGAACCTCCTCCCAGCCCCAGCGAGAACCAATCCAAAGAGGCCATTGGTGCCTTATCACGAGCCTACCAGGACATCTTCACAAACACACAGGACCACCTGAGCAAGCATGCAGGCAACATGACCACCAGCAGCAGATCGAGCACCTTTCAAAACAACCCTTCTCAGGACAGCAACTACCCTCATGGGAACCCTCTCGTGGGGTATCACGCGACTACTCACGAAAGCTTCTCGACCCCGCCTCGCTGCCCAGTTGCTTCCAGCGACAGTAAATGCCCGGTTTCATTGGTGGACAATAATCGGTACAGCTACGCTCCTTCGTTCAGCCAAAATCACTCCCAGTTGAGCGTTAGCCCGCCCTCACAACTTGCTCAGGTCGATTACAACAGCTACGTGGCTGGCGAGTCCCAAACCCAGGCCTCATGTCCGTTTAAGTTGGCTGCTGGCTCCAAAGTGCTGGTAAGAATGGTTCAAGATACATACTTTTTTTATTGGCATCTTTGGTTCCATGAAGAACCTTTAACATCCATGGAACTTTGTATTGTACAAAAGTTTCTTTATAGTGGAAGAAGGTTTGTTAGATTATTAAGATGTTTTTACAATAAGAAAATAATGGTTCTTTTGTTCACTGAAAGGTTCTTTAGGGAACCAAAAAATGTTTCTTCTATGGCATTGCTGTGAAAATGTGCTTCTTTTGAAATCTTTATTTTTACGAGTTTGTCATGTCAGTGTTTCATTTTAGTGCCAATATTATGTTTATAGGAATAATTTAAGATCAAAATACAGAAATAGGTCAATAAATTAAAGTGCCCCTATTATGGGTTATGAAAAGTTCATATTTTGGTTTTGGGAGTCCCCAACAACAGGTCAAAACACTTTCATTGTCTTATAATATGCATTTGTTTTTACCTTACATGCTCAACGACTCCCAAACGATTCGCTCGACGATTCATTCTTTCAAACTCCTCCTTTGCGTGATGCTAATCTGCGGTGATTGGTCCGATTGGTCTCATTTTCCTTTCATCATGCCTGATAAAGCAGCGTTTGTGAGCGCAGTGCTGCTTTGTGTACAGCGTTACCGGGTAAACCGCTATTTTTACCGCTCCAAAAGCAGCACCTAGTGGCAAAGAATGAATTAGCATTTTCATTCAAATCAATTCAAATGTTGGCGAAAAGACCAACAAGTGGGCGGACAATATGCTAATGTTCCATGTTGACATCAACATTAAACGGCTTGGGATTCGTTTTAAAAACCACTCGTTTCAATGATTCAGAGTCGACTCTTTCTTTTGAGAGACAATTACTTTATACACGGTGCACTTTCAGATTTAAAACTTTGTTTTCATTCACTTAGAGCTGTGTTACACACTGCATGAAAGGTAATTTTCAAAAATCCATAATAGGGGCACTTTAACCCCTGGTTAATTTGGTGTTCCCTGCCAAAATGGACTGGCCTTTTAAAAACTGCTCATAGATTTCTCATTGTGCAGTATTATCACCAAATCTTGGATTCAATCCTTTTGTCAACTTGTTTTCTGTCAGTTAACACAGGTTTTGTTTTCCTTTTTTGGAACTGATTGATCGTAGGCCTCAATGACCTCAAAAAAAAACATTATTTGTGGAAAATGTTGGCAATATTCACTCAAAAACTAAGGTCAGTCAGTACAAAAAGAAATACAAAACGTGTGCTAACTGACAGAAAACAAGTTGACAAAAAGACTGAAACCAATATTTGGTAATAATATATCATAACAATAAATTTGTAGGTGATTTTTTTTTTGTAAGCCGGTCATTTTTGACTAGGAACATCACAAGGGTAACACAGTGGAAAGAAATATCCCAGAAAAGTACAAAAATTCTTATTATTGATTTTTTTGGAAGTTGTTTTACCCTTTGTGAGCAAAGTCAGTAAGTTTTAATCCAATGTGATAACCAAAACACAACATGAAAGTTAAGCATACGTGCTAATAAAACATTAAAATAATATATACCATCTCTATCATAGGCCTGTCCACTGAACGCATGCCCTGTGTCAGCACCTGGCGTCTCCAGCCAGCAGCTGTGGGAGTCTTTCTCTCAGTGCTTCACGCCGGCTGTACGTGAAGTGGTCGAGTTCGCGAAGGGCATTCCGGGCTTCCAGGAGCTTTGCCAGCATGATCAAGTCATGTTGCTCAAAGCAGGCACTTTCCAGGTACTGATTACACATTTCTCCTAAAGTTTACATCCCCTTCTGTACTATTAAAGGTGAAGTGTGTCATTTCTAGGCCACTAGCAGCACGAAACCAAACAGATTTCCCAATCAGCCTAACTCAAACTCACGCAGTTGGTTTAGCCACAGTTTGACATGTCAGATCACTCAAAACAAACACAGCAATGTGTAGATAACATCACAGTGTTAACACCCCTACGGACATCAACCTACAAATGATGAAAATATTTTGAGAGTGAAAAAAAAAAAAAAAAACATCACATGGGTCAATTTTTTCGCCTCCATCTAATCATGCTGTCTTTTTACAGGTGCTTATGGTGAGGTTTTGTTCACTGTTCAACCACAAGGAAAGAACAGTGACTTTCCTGAATGGGCAGACGTACCCACTGCTCACCCTTAGGGGTCTGGGCATGGGCTCCTTGCTGGACACCATGTTTGAGTTCAGTTCCAAGCTGAGCTCTCTGGGCCTGGAGTCAGATGAGATGGCTCTCTTTATGGCAGTGGTGCTGGTTTCTGCAGGTAAGAGCAACACAGGAATCAAATTAATTAGTGCTGTTTGCTAAGGCGTGCATCACTGTTATTATTGCTAATGCTTAGTGTTGAAGATGTGAATAATCCACTAACATTGAGCTAATCATTTAAAATAGGGATGCTCATTAGTGCAATATTAAAATTCTTTATTAAAATAAATTTGAAACTCAAATAGAAGTCTGTTTAAACACAAATTTCATGTTAGTACAAACAAACACTGACTTTCACTGTTTTGGGTCCAAAACAACACTGACTTTCATTGTATGATGAAGGAAGAAAAAAAAGACTAAATATAAAAGACTAAATATACTAAATTAAATAAATTTACTTATAATATACTAAATTAATTTGAGTATTTTTAATTTTTTTTTAATTAAAATACAATTGTTTTAAATCAAACATAAAATACTAAAAAAATCAATCACTAAAAATAATGTATTCATAATCTTCGTTATCAAATTAGGTTTAAAATATATATATATATATATATATATATATATAAATATTTAAAACGTATA